CTGCTTTAAAATCTCTCTTTACAACTGGTTTTAAACTATTTGATTATGGTGTCCCTTGGTGTAGTTTTCTTTATGTGTTTTGTACTTGCTTTATATTTATTTAACTTAGATTTGTGGGTTTATTGTTTTCATCAAATTTGGCAAGTCTTCAGCCATTACATCTTTATTCTCTGTCCTCTTCCTCCTTTAGGGACTCCAATCACATACATATTTGGCCCTTTCAAGTTGTCCCACAGCTCACTGATGTGCGATTCACTTTTTTCTAGTTTTTTTTTTTATTCATATCCCATTTTTATAATTTTAACTGCTATGTCTTCAAGTTCATGACATGTTTCTTTCTTGATGTCTGATCTGCCATTAATCCTATCCAGTGTATTTTTCACCTCAGGTGTTTATATAATCTCTAGAAGTCTAGAAGTTCAATTTGAGTCATTTAATAGCATCCATCTTTTCTTAACAAGCTTATGGTTTCACCTACCATCTTGAGTATATGGAACATAGTAATAATAACAATTTTATTAATATCCTTATTAAATCTATTTAATTTATTTTAGTATCTCTACTTGTTAGATCTGTGTCACTTCTGGGTCTATTTCTGTTGGTTGAGTTTTCTCTTTATTATTGGATTTTTCTACTTCCCTGCATGTCTGATAAATTCTGATTGATTGATACACATTACATACTTTATTAATGGGTGCTAGATATTTTGTATTTCCTTAAATATCCTTGAGCTTTGTTATGGGATACAGTTAAGCTACTTGAAATAATTTGATCCTTCAAACCAAGTGTCTGCAAACTAGGCCCACAGGCCAAATCTGGCCTACTGCCTATTTCTATAAATAAAATTTTATTGGAATACATTCTGATACATGTAAATAAATTTGCTTACAAATTGTCCATGGCTGTTTTAACACTAGAATAGCAGAAGTGAGTAGTTACAATAGAGACCAAATGGACCATATATCCTAAAATATTTTCCATCTGGACCTTTACAAAAAAGTTTTATGACCTGTCTTGAATGGCTTATTTTTAAGATTTTTTTAGGCAGGGTCAGATGAGACCATAGTCTAGGGCTAATTTTGCCTCATTGCTGAAGCATTACTCTTCTGAGTACTCCATCTATATACAAGGTTTTCCATTCCAAATGGTAGAGGAGACACACTCTTCCCTGCCTTATACCAGCTATGTTTTTCATCCCAGTGGCTGTTTCCTCATACATGGGTAGTTCTCTTATGCATGAACACTAATCAGCACCCAGCTGAAGCCTCCAGGAGAGCCTTCTGGAGCTCACTCTCTATGTAACTAACTCTCTCTTCTCTGGTACTTTGTCCTTCAAATTCTAGCTCCCTCAGCCTCCCAGAATTCCTAACTCTATCATCTCAACCTAGGATAAGCTATGTGGGGTTCCGCCTTTCTGCACTGCAGCCTGGGGCAAATCATTTTTTTCCTTCTGTCAGGGTTCACTGTCTTGTGCCATTTGTTCTATGTCAGAACGCCTTTGTTTCATATGTTTTATGGGCTTTTCTTGTGTGTCTGTTTGTTAGGCTATTTTAGGCAAAAGAATAACTCCAGTTCCTGTTATTACAAGATGGCTGGAGGCAGAAGTCCTCTCAGTACAAAGTTCCAATCGTTTATATTTGCCTTAGTGCTTTATATTTACAAATACATTGTCCCAGCTCAAGCCATTTACCCAATTCTAAGATCAGGCAGCAGCAAGAGAAGGGTATAATAGGCAAAGTCAGTAACTACTATACTAGCCCTTTCCCCAATCCTACTTTCCTACTTCTGTGGGATACCTATTGGGAGGTTGGAACCCAAATTATAGTAAAATTTTGTTTTTAACATTTTTAACATAAAAACTTTGTTTTTAACATTAAAACAAAAGTAAAACTTTTGTTTTAACATTTAACATTTCATTAAACCAGTATTTATTGAGCAGCTGTTTTCCTGGCATTGTTCTAGGTGCTGGGGATTCACCACTGTGAACAAAACATGCAAAAATTCCTACCTTTCTGAGGCTTACCTTTGAATCAAACTTCTATTTGAATTAACTGTTTCTAGTAGCTTAACTCTATCCTGTAACAATGCTCAAGTAAAATATGATCAGATGGTGACTTAAAAAGTCGAAGTAACAGAGAGACAGTAAGTGCTAAGTGATTTAGCGGGGAAAACAGTGCCAGTTTAAAACAGGTTGGTCGGGAAGGCATGGGTGAGAGGATGACAATTTAGCAAAGATATGAAGGAGGTAAGGATGTAAGTCATGTGGCTATCTGTGAGTACAATAACCGCAAAACTGATGCGGAAAAAAGAAAACTGGTATGGCTAAAGCAGGGAGTGAAGGGGAGCAGTAAGAGATGAGGCCAGAGGTAATGGGGCCCATATCATATAGGAGCTGATAAGCCTCTGTAAGCGAGACGGGAAGGACTGGAGACACTGGAGCAGGAAAGTAACACGATCAGACTTATAGTTTTAAATAATTTATCCAGCTGTTGTGTGGAGAGTGAATTCTAGAGGAGAAAGTACGGAACCAGGGAGACCAGTTAGAAGGCTACTGTTATAAAGAGATGATAAAGGTGTGCACCAGTGTAGTAGCAGAAGAGGTGGGGAGGACTGGTCACCTTCTGGATGTATGGAAGGTGGGGCTGACAGTATGTCCTGATAGCTGAATGTGTAGAGGGTGAGAGAGAACAGATGAGGATGCTGCAAAGACACCTGGCCTGTGCAACCGGAAGAAGAGCCTTCCCCATCTCAGTAAATTGCAACTTAGGACGAAGGAAGTTTGGTCGGGAATACAGAGGAACTCAAGAGCTCAGTCGCAAACATGTTAGGTTTGATATGCCTATCAGACATTCAGCAATTGAATATTTGAATCTGGAGTTTAGAGAAGAGGGTCACACTGGGGATAATTTGGTAGCTGCCAGCATGAAAATGAATGAGAGAAGCTAGGGAATGAGGATTGAGAGAGGAAAAGTACAGAGACTGTGCCCCCCCAATGTTTGGAGGTCATGACAACGAGGAAGTATCTGCAAGAAAGATAAGAGTACTCATGCAATAGCAAGGCCGCTGGGAAAGTGTGGAGACACAGAAGACAAGGGAAGAACATACTTCACAGAGCAGCATGATCAATGGGGTCAGTGCTTCTGACAGGTCAAGAAGATAAGGACTGAGAATTAATGGTTGGGTTTGCAATATGAAGGTCACTGGTGACACTTGAGAACTTTGGTGGAAAGCCCAGAAAGACTGAGAAATTGTGCAAAAGGAAGCAGAGACATTAAATGGAGTAGGGAGTTAAATAATTTTTTTAAGTAAAGCAGGGAGGTGGGAATGCATGATGCACGACAGAAAAGGGGCAACTACTGCCCCAATATCCTTGAGCAGGTGAGAGGAGATGGGACTAAGAATATAAGTGCAAGGGTAAGCTTTAAATTGAGCATGGCTGGGTATTCTTCTCCAGCTATGTTCAGCCGCACTGCTGCAGGCATGGAATAAGTAGACCAAGGCACTGGGATATAGTCGGCTAAGTACAATGAAGCAAGGGGGAGGTTTAGGGAAGATGAGTGTATGAGTGATTTTAATGACAGGGTAGGCTATTTACATTGAGTAAGGGAGGATGTGAGATATGAAGGAAGTGTGGTGCAGTGGAAAAGCTGCATGTCTAGGTGGAATTAAGAATGTGTTGGAGTGGGAGGACAGATGGAGAATGGGGTACTAGGACTCAAGATCATGGAGTGAGCGTAGTTCTTATTAATGACTAGGTCCACAGTATGACCATGGAAGGAAGTTGCTGATGTAGTCTGGAAGACAAGGTCACTGAAGGAGATGAAGTCAAAAAGCTAAGAAGGCAGGATATTAGGACTCAATGAAGCCTGAAAGTCACCAAGAATTAGGACACATTAGTTTTACAGGGAAGGACAGATCCTGAATCTTGAAGGAATAAGGAACAATGAGGCATTTTTACTTGCCAGATTTTAAATTTTTATGTGGTCTTATAACTATATTTATAATGATTTAGGCCTAACTCCATGTCAGCTGTTTTAAGCTAATCCAACTGTCCTTTTATGGTCCAACTTGCATTCTGCTCAAATGTCCTTCGTTTGCTATCATTCTGAAAAGTGTACAATTAATTCTGTTATTTATATCAATTTCCTAAATTCTAAAGCAATATTTTTCAAAAATTTCCAAGGAGCACCAGGTCAATGGTACATCTGATGAGGCAGGGGTTGTATGGTGAAATATGTTTGAGAAACACCATAGACCAAACCCTGTCTTTGATAATCACTTGTTGGAAATAAGTCTAATTTAACTCAGATTTTCTCCCAAATTTAAATGACCATAGGCCAATTTTCCATTTAATGTCAGTTAACATCCCAAGGAATGAGTATGCCAAGATATATACTATTGATAAGACTGTTTTAGAGGTATATGTCTTCTTAGTGGCCTCAAAAGAGGTGAAATGGAATCTACTAGAACAAGATTCAAGATACAGACTTAGAATCTGTCAGAGAATGCAAATCATTGTTATGTTACTTTGTAACAATATTCTCCTCTCCTAACAGGATGAAAAACAATAAATTCTCAAAGATGCCTTAAAAACTGGTTTAGTATATTTTAATTCTCCATAAAAATGATACTATGTAGACTATTTAAAAACAAAGACCCATAAAAATGTTTTGAAGGAAGACTAATGTCCAACAGGATGTCTGCATCTATATACAACCTCAGCTCTGCCCTTTGCTCCCACTAACCATAACTCTGATAAGAAGTCAGTCACTACAAGGAAACAAATGCCCCTAGGCCAAGACATGTACTTCAAAAATCACTATCAAAACAACTATCATCTAAGAGTACCAGAAAAAGTGAAACAGACTTTAAAAATAATGTCAGAACCCAAAATAAAAAAGTTTTGCTCCAATTTTTGCTTTAGGAGCTCTAAAAAAACATCATCAAGTTATTAGAGAAGATGAGGTATTGGGGAAAGAGGATAAACAAAATTAAAATACCAGCTTACAAAAGCCAATCACGATGTTTATGAATCAGGCAGGAACGATCTGAAAACAAAAATAAAAAGTTACTAGTTTGATATATTTGCACATACATTTGTTAATTGTAATTGTGAGATCATTGTAGGCTCATACGCAGTTTCCCACAATAGTAACACTTCACAAAACAACAGAACAATATCACAACCGTTATGTTTATATTAATAGCATCTACTAGCCTACTGCGATTTCCTATTTAATTATATTCATGTGTTTTATACAGTTTTATCACATGTGTAGGCCCACATATCTACTACTAGTCAAAATATTCAACAATTCCATCACAAGGATCCATCATGTTGCCCGTTTACAAACACACGCCACCTCCTCTGCCACAATCCCTTTCTGCCCCGACCCACTGCACATCTATTTTTAACACTAAATTAATAGCAGCCATTTACAAAAAGTATTTCACTCCGTCCATAGTTCTATGTCTACTGCTACTACTTCCTAGTTGTATGTCAAATCTTGAGTGACTACTTTTAGTTTTCTGCCTCAAAGTTTTAGCTTAAGGAATAAATTCTCTGGAGAGAAGGTTTTCTCATTGTTAGCACAGCACAGATCACTCACTTCAAAAATGCAAAAAGTATGGGAGGCAGAAGTGTCTGCACTAACAGATTCTGTATTTTCAATATATTTCTACAAGAAACCTCTGAGTGCTTACCACGGGCCAAGCTACATACTGTGTGTGTGTGTGTGTGTGTGTGTATGTGTATGTGTGTGTGTGTGTGTGTGTGTATCTCATTTAATCCTAATACCAAGCCTTTGATGTATGCACATTGACCCCGTTTGGCCGAGGAGAAAACTGAGGCACCAACTGATTTACAGGTTGCCTAAGGTCAAACAACTAGCAAGTGGCAAATCCTGGATCCTGGGAGCAGACTCTGGGAACCCAGACCACCATCCCTCAAGGAAACCCATGATAAAGTAAAGATATTTTGGTGTCACTATTCATTGCTATGACAAGTAAATCACCCAGTTATCAGTGAGCTTCATTTTAACATACCAGAATTCAACAAGGAAAATATCCAAAACAATGATGTGTAAAATGGAAGCAGTATTTTATTCAAACACTAAATGATAGGAAATTGCCAAAAACAAAGGTTGGAACATACAGAAAAGATTTTATATTACGGCAACAAACTGTTCACCAGCCCTGACAGACAGTCTTAACATTCATTGGGATTGTCAGGCAGCAGTTTATACATAGCCAAGATTGCTCTTGAAAAAGACATATTCAATTGAGCAGAGATGATTATGGGAAAAATGAAATTTTTGAACAGATAAAAGCTTAAAAATTAGGCTCTTCAGCCAATAGAGACATCTAAAACTCCAAAGATAATGTTCAGGTTATGGTAATTTAACAGACACCTATGGTAACAAACTTTCTGTAGGTTTATTAGCTTACTAATATAGCATTGTAACTGAGGATTAGTAGATATTTTCTTCTGTGAAACTACACAGCACATTTATGCATAGCTGTGACAGTTTGCCTATCATCCAACAGTGCTTAAAAGGCGCCTACTCAATAAGCCATTGATATGCTGCCTCAAATACCCTGACAAGGCTTTCTTTACAGTGCTGACTTTACAGATGCCTCCTGGATGGTCTAAGTTCAAGAGGCAGCCAGGGGAGGAGAATGCATTATTAGCACGGTTTGGCATGCATATGATCGAGTTATACACAGGAACTAGGGAAATGGAGCTCTGAGGTTCATCTTCCACGTGAAGACACATAAATACTAATACAGTCCTGACTTTCTGGGAGGGAAGTTAACTCGTTAATTCACTAACACTTAAATATATGAAAAATGTTTTCAGTTAAAAGAGTAGCTAAAAAGAAAAACAACTTCAAAATGCTTATATTTCATGAGAGTTCTAGATATCACTATTAATCAATTTTAACTAGCTTTATAATCTCCCCCAGTTACTCAAGGCTTTTTTTTTTTTTTTTTAAGACAAGGTCGCTGTCATCTAGACCGAAGTGTGGTGATGTGATCAAGGCTCAGGGCAAGATTGCAAGCTTGATCTCTGGGGCTTAATTAATCCTCCTATTTCAGCCTCCCAAGTAGCTGGGACTACAGGCATGTGCCACTACCCCCGGCTTTTTTTTTTTTTAGTGGAGACAAGGTCTCACTATATTGCCCAGGCTAATCTTGAACTCCCGGGCCCACGTGATCCTCCCACCTTGGCCTTCCAAAGTAAAAACTCACATTTTCTTAAAGGTGGGTAAGCAAAAAGGATCAGGGTGAAGGAAACCCACTCCTCCTTTTCAGAAACCATCCTGTGATGCCTGTCTGCCCTTCCTCACCAAGAAGCTAGCTGTCCATGGCTGGGCCAGCGTGATAAACTCAGGGGACACTGGATACAGCTCTCTTTTCAGTCTCCTAGAGTTAAAACTTTTATAAGCATTATTATTTCAAGAAAACACTGTGTCCTGGTCTTCTTGAGTAAATACAAGGCAGATGGTAATCTTAATTTTCTCTGGAAGCTCCATCTCTGAAACATGGGACAAGATAGATGTCAAAGTTCTAAGAATGACAGAATTCCTCCATGAGCTACATTTATCTCCAATTCTTTTCCCAGGGAGACACATACATAAAGACCCCTTTAAGTTTAACATGGCTTGTTTCTCATATCTTTCTAAAAGCAGAGTGTTTATTTAGAATAAGCTCTCTAGTTGGTCTGCTAAGCTTTTTCCAAACATGTAACGTATAAACTGAGAAACACGTTTCCATTCCCAGGGATATTTGCCCAGTAAGTCTTGGTGAAGATGAAATTTTTGCTATTGCACCCTTTACTGACCAACGCAGGCATGGGCAGTTTTTAGAATTTTCAAATGCTTTCATATGAAATGGTGAGTAATAATGATTATGCCTAAACTAATATCCCTTTCTCTGCTGCTAAACATGGTCACCTGGTGGTGTACAGTATGAACACAATACTTATATGGTTCCTCAGTGGTTCATCATTCTAGAATATCCTATAAGATTAACTAAATGTTTTGTATTTATTTTGTCTATCACCTCAGCTATACCATTTATGTCACTGTTTTTAAGTTGTTAAATTCTTGGAGGATAAAGATTATATCTGTCTAATTTTGTTTACAAAGAATAGCCATGGACAAACACCCCATAAAACCCCTTGTGATGAGCACAATCACAGCAGAGTTAATGGCAGGTTGGCTCCACTTCACCAGAGGTTCTGGAGGAGGAAACCGAGATCTTCCCCGAAAGGCCATACCTGGCATCAGGGACTACTGTGGGCACTTTCCTTTGACTTGCATTTACCTGCCAGGAAGATGATATCCTTTATCGTTTTACATGAAAGCATTTGGGAAAATTCTAAAAACTGCCCATGCCTACCTTGGTCAGCTCAGGCTGCAACAGCAAAGTGCCACAGACTGGATGGCTGAAACAGCATTTAGTTCTCACAGTTCTGGAGGGGAGAAGTCTGAGATCACAGTGTCAGCATGGGCAGGTTCTGGTGAGGAACCTCCTCCAACTATCTACTGATGACTCTCCTATCCTCAAAAGGTGGGAAGGAAAGCCAGCTAGTCCTCTGCCCTCTTCTTATAAAGGCACTAATCCCATTCCTGAAGTCTCCACCCTTATGGCCTCATTTCTTCCCTAAGGCCCCACCTTCCAATACCATCTCATTAGAGTTAAGGTTTCAACACATGGCTTTCAGGGGGATACTCACATTCAGTTCATTGCAATGACCTTGCATAGACATGAAGACAGGTCAGGCATGTTTGAAATAACTCATAGTCTGTAAAATCTCACATCAAAAATAACAGACGGAGAAAAATTCGGAGCAGACCACTCAAAACCCTGTGCACTTTTGTAATCACAGCGCTAACCAAATAATAATGCATACCTCAGGGATAACTTGAAAAGCCCCGAGAGGCAGCTCAGTGTGACTGTGTCCATGCAGGTGTTTCTGGATGAAATCTGCACTCGTGCTGGTGGACTTAGGAGGACACCACCCTCCCCAATATGGGCCAGCAACATCCAATCCATTGAGGGTTCAAATAGAACCAAAAGGTAGAGGAAGGAGGAATTCACCCCTTTTTCTTCCTGCCTGCCTGAGCTGGGACATCAATCTCTTCCTGACCTTGGACTAGGATTTAGACCCCTGGCTCCTGTTTCTCAGGCCTTCAGACTCAGACCAGAATCACACCACCAGCTTTCCCAAGTCACCAGCTTTCCCAAGTCTCCAGCTTGCAGACAGTGGATTGTAGGATTTCCCAGCTTCCATAATCATCTGGGTCAATTGCTCATAATCAATCAATCTCTCTCTTTCCATATACGTACACATGGGTAAACAGACTCTAACTCTGCCAACTCAAATTCACTTGGTTCTAGAGACTGCCCAGCAATTATACATTTTCCTACTCTTCAGTCATTTCATTTCACACCTTCTCTCCTATCTTCCAATTGCCCTCCCCACTCCTAATGCTTATACATAACATCACTCTGTTAACATTTCCACTTCATGCTTCTGTGAGACAAAAGCTGTTGGATAGGGCATCTCCACTTTCTAGCTCACAAACTTCCCACATACCCACAAACTTCCCTGTATCCACAGGAGTATGCACCCTCCCTAGAACCAGAAGCCAACTCCATCTGTCTGTTCAAAATTTCTTCTACATTTTCTTCTCCCTTTCTACTAAGATACTTGTCATCGACACATACTATGCTCTGATACTCCCCTTTTATTTTTTTTTTTGACAGAATCTCACTCTGTCACCAGGCTGGAGTACAGTGGTGTGATCTTAGATCACTGCAACCTCTGCCTCCTGGGTTCCCCTGTGATTCTCCTGCCTCAGCCTCTGGCATAGCTGGGACTACAGATGCATGCTACCACACCCAGCTAATTTTTGTATTTTTAGTAGAGACAAAGTTTCACCGTGTTGGCCAAGATGGTCTCAATCTCCTGACCTCATGATCTGCCCTCCTCAGCCTCTTAAAGTGCTGGGATTACAGGCGTGAGCCATGGCGCCAGACC